TATAACAGTGCATACAAATGCTATGGGGACTGGGGATGGGGGGGCTGTCAGAAAGTGGAGAGATGTTACCCTAAGCTTTGAGTATTCTGCAGTCTAGAGCAGGGGCGGACTCACAACTCATGGGGCCTCCAGGCAATAGGGGATCATGGGGCCCCTATGTCCTTGCCCAAACTCATAAAAGCCTATGAAAAAAGGTACCAGGGGCATCTCATGGGGCCCCCTACTGACCCCCGGCCCTCGGGCAGTGCCTGAGTTTCCAAATGGTCAGTCTGCTCCTGGTCTAGAGGATAGTGTGGCATTTGAAGTGAGTGAACTGGCAATGGAAGGGACCTATAGGGGTTTTACTACACTGGAAGTCCCAAAATGGATGTGATTAGCCGCTGGAGCCAGCAGCCTCCCATTGCTTTCAATGAGGGCTGCCTCTCGTAGCTAATCACTGGAGCCCCAATGGGGTTCTCACATATAATCACAGGAAGGATGCATTCACAAATGCGAATGCACCCTAACAGTCAACAATAAAACCTGACAGAGATCTAAATTCTGTTCCCTTTCCAGAAACAGGGGTGTAACCACAGCCATAGCAGCCCATACAGATGCTTTGGGGCCAGGGGGGTTGTCAGAAAGTGGACAGATGTTACAATAACTGCTTGCGGACCTCCCACCCCAGTTCTACTGTGCCAGCGCACGTACGTGATCTAACATTTCTAGGTAGGGGGGTGCACATTTGCTACAGCACAAGCCAATTAGCAGGTCCCAGCCAATGATTTATGGCTGGGACCTGCTGATCGGCTTAGTGAATGACAGTTCAGAGCCCTGCAAAGAGACTGATCCTCTGCCCTTCAATTATTATTATTATTATTATTATTATTATTATACAGTGTTTATATAGCGCCAAAAAGTTTGCTCAGTGCTGTACATTATAGTGGGGGACAGTACATGAGACAATACAGTAACAAAACAATATACGAGAGGTTCAAGGGCCCTGCTCTTTCGAGCTTACAATCTAGGATGGAGGGGAAAGTGGTACAGGAGGAAGTGGCTGTGGGGGATGGAGTGGTAGGAGGAGTGGAGGAGATTGGCTGTTAGGTGAGGGTGGGGTAGGCTTCCCTGAAGAGATGGGTTTTCAGGGTGTGCCTAAAGGTGAGGAGGGTAGGTGACAGTCTGATGGATTGGGGTAGTGAGTTCCAGAGGATGGGGGAAGTCCTGTAGTCGGGCGTGGGAGGAGGAGATTAGGTAGCTAGAAAGTAGGTTTTGTGAGGAGCGAAGAGTACGTGTTGGGTGGTATTTGGGTATCAGGTCGGTGAGGTAGTTTAGGGCAGTGTTATGAATGGCTTTGTACGTCAATGTTAGTAGTTTGAATTAATGCGTTGGGCAATCGGGAGCCAATGGAGGGAATGACAGAGGGGGGGTGGCAGATGCGGAGCGGTTGGTGAGGTGGATGAGTCTGGCCGCTGAGTTCAGGATAGACTGAAGCGGGGATAGTCTGTGATGAGGTAGGCCAGTGAGGAAGGAGTCGCAGTAGTCGAGTCGTGAGATAATAAGGGAGTGAATGAGTTGTTTAGTAGTGTCTGGAGTTAGGAACGTACGTATTTTGGAGATGTTGCGGAGGTGGAGCCTGCATGAGTTTGCCAGCGATTAAGTCTCTGTATGCAATGGTAGCCAGGAGGTGATGCCAAAATTAGAGGTGGGCAACTCGAGAGTATCACAGGCAAACAACTGAGGTTCTTCAAATTTTGTGGATCTGCTAATGTCAGGGTGCTAATATAGCATTTCAGTATAGTTAGTAATGTAACATTGATAAGCGTATCAAAGGTCTCCAAAAGGGTGGGTATGTGGGAGCCTGGTCTTCATCAAATTTTTCTACAGGGTCCCTGATCCAAAACTGTCAAAAATAGCTGGAGTTAGCTTTTATTAGTTTTGGGAGAAAACTACTTTAAGGAAGATTTTTTTTTAACACAAAAATAATTCAGATGTTTTCTGTTTAACCAAACTTTTCGTCTTAGAGTTTGAAAATTCTATTAAAGTGTGTTTGTTATTTGTAACAAAACAGTCCAATACCCAACAGATCACACCATAGTCAATATATTATTGGCTGGGACAGAATTTACACTGTGCTAAAGTTACATGGTTTACCAAGACATGGCAAACATCTTATGATGGATATTTTTAAACAGAGAACAATATTTACAGGCAATTATCGTAGTATTTTATTATGCGTGGAATTAGTTTAGAAAGCACCACATGATGGCGTTTCTACTAAACTATTCAATAAAACAAGGAAAGTATATTTTTTGCTAAAAATGGCTCAGTGAGCTAACCGGCAGATGCGAGAAAATATGGAAGTCATCTGCAAGCATTTAATATCATGTAAAGCAAGGAAGCATTTCTCCATCTGCCACATGTCAAGGACAGAGATAGATGAGCTGTTTCTTAAACCTTAACAACATATCCAGCTGAAAAGAAAACAGACCTTTTCACTGAGGGTCGATTGTCTGAGTTGTTGACTGTAAATCAAGCTTTTTTTCAGTGTGATCACTTAATAAATGTTACCCGTATTGTCTAATTTTATTTCTCATTCATAGTTTGATGTTAATACAAGAAGCAAATAGTCCTCTGTTTTGCACTTATTTATGTCTCCTGTTCAGTATTACTGTATACATTGCTGGATCATATAATTTCAGACAGACAATATTGTTAGAGTGTATCTAAATGAAACACGTAAAGGAAATCTATGGCCATGGGATAATATTTCATATAACATCACCATTGTAATAGCAATACAAACAATAGTTTTTTTTTGACAATCCAATATAAAATTACTTGAAAATTTTCCCTTCATATTGTAAATGCTGCCTGTCTGCTAACCATCTCTTTAACCACTTCCCCTCGGCCCTTCCCCTAGCACTTCCCCTAGCAGAAATACTGTTACAGGGCGGCACGGGTGCACAAAATAATGTCTATATATGTGATTTCGCAGTTCCGGGTAGGGGGCGCATGCTCTACCCGTGGCCTCAGCTGTCAATCATCGGGTCCTGGCCAGTGACTACTCGTCAGCACCCGGTGATCGCCGGGTAATACCAACGGGGGAGATAACTATATGCAAACAACACAGATCTCTCCCCTGTCAGCTCCTGCACTACTGCTTTGTATGGCTCTGCATAGCACAGCCATACAAAGCAGTGTGCTTACAGTGGAAATCACACACAAAGCCTCATAGTAAAACACACACAGGACACAGTTAACCCTTTGATCTCCCCATATGTTAACCCCTTCCTGCCCAGTGTCATTAGTACAGTGTCAGTGCTTTTTATTAGCACTGATTACTGTATTGATGTCACTGGGGATGTCAGTGACACCAAGTCAGTTCCCCCCAGTGTCAGAATGCCTATAACTCACCGATTGCCACCATTACTAGTAAAAAAAAATTTCAGTATATACACCCATTTGTAAATGGTATAACTTTCACATAAACCAAATAATTAACACATATTGGGATTTTTTTTTTTGGCAAAGACATGTAGCAGAATACATTTTGGCCTAAAATTATGATGAAATTTTTTTGTTTATAACGCAGAGGTGAGCAAAAAAAAGGACATAAATTTAATTTGAGTGCAGCGTTGCATGACCGCGCAATTGTCAGTTAAAGTAACGCAGAGCCGTAACGCAAAAAATGACCTGGTCAGGAAGGGGGGTAAATCCTCTGGAGGGCAAGCGGTTAAACAACTTCTCAGATTCTCTGGCTGCTTTGTGGCATCTGCCCTGCTCCAGGGGTGGACTGACAACTAATGGGGCCCCCGGGCAATAGGGGATCATGGGGCCCCCGTGTCCTTGCCCAAACTCAAAAAAGCCAATGAAAAAGGTACCAGGGGCATCTCATGGGGTCCCCTCTTGACCCCAGGCCCTTGGGCAGTGCCCAAGTTTCCAAATGGTCAGTCCGTCCCTGCCCTGCTCATTCCTTTTTTTAACATTCAGTTTCTAAGGGCTTCTCTTCAGCACCTACGTCATTCAAACAGCGGGTTCTGTGAAATGTGTGACACAGTAATAAATTCTATCATTAGCATTCAATTAAATAAATGTGCAGGTTTCTTTAAAAAGTACTTTTTCAAACTTTAGAATCTTTCAGATTAAAAGGAGTAGGCGCTAAAAGTAATTTAAATGAATATATGAAATTGAATATATGATTTTAAACCCAAACATAAACATTTATTACATTTCAGCTTACCAATTCTTAGCTGTGATGGCTGTATTCCTTTTCTTTTTTAGGCTTTCTTTCCTTTATTTTCACCTGGTGATCCATCCAGTAAGTCTGTTGTTTTTCAACAGAATAAGCTCTCTTGCAAAATGTGGCAGATAGAAAGTTAAGACAAACCATTTACCACTGACAGGGGTGTTTACAGTCATTAGCCTATATTTATTCATAAAACCTTTATCCCACCAAGAAAAAATGGTTGCTGTAACTGCTTGTGTAACTGCAGTGTGAGATGGAGTACGGCTTCAATTTGTTATGTGTATCTAAATCTGCTAATAAATCTAAAGCTCCCCTTCCCCCAGATTGCCAAAGCTGCTGTCCAAAGGTGCTCCTGTGCTCCTTCATCCAGAGTGGAGACACTCTAATACGGAAGATCTGTTAATGGCCAAATCACCAGATGAAAACTGAGGGAAAAAAAATGCCAAAAAAGAAAATGAATGCAGCCACCACATCTAATGATTGGTTAGCTGCAATATATAAAAATGTTTTGCTTTCGGGTATAATACTGCTTTAAATTTTGAGAATAGATACACTATGAACCAAATATGTTATTGCACATGATCCTGTATTATCAAACCGTTAAATTAAAGTGGTTATAAAGGTTCATTTTTTTTCATTAAAATACCAAACATGTCATACCTGCTCTGCAATGGTTTTGCACAGAACAGCCTCATTTCTCCTCCTCTTGGGTCCCCCATGGGTGCTTCTGACCCCTCCCCCCTGCTGAGTGCCCCCAAAGCAAGCTACTTACTGAGGGCCCTCATGTGTGCTTGCTCCTGAGCCGCCTCTGTGTGGCTCAGTCCCGCCCAGGGGCGGACTGAACATTAGGAAACTCGGGCACTGCCTGAGGGCCCGGGGTCAGTAGGGGGCCCCATGGGGTTCCCCTGGTACCTTTTTCATAGGCTTTTTTGAGTTTGGGCAAAGACACAGGGGACCCATGATCCCCTATTGCCCGGGGGCCCCATGAGTTGTCAGTCCGCCCCTGGTCCCGCCCCTTGTCCCCGACTCCCTTTTCACTGACATTGATTCACAGCAGTGGGAGCTGGGGGCTCTTGTGCACATCACTGGATAGGGGGTTAGGTAAGTATTGGGGGGGATGCGGGGGGAGTTGCACACTGAAAGTTTTTATCTTCATGCATAGAATGCATGAAGGTAAAAACCTTCAGCAATTACAACCACTTTAATAGTTAGCACTTGCAGCAGTGTAGTTCTCAGTTTGAATCCTGCCCAGTATGCTATCTGCATGGAGTTTGCATGTACTTTCCCCCTGTGCCTATGTGGGTTTCCACATTCCAAAGACCTTACTGGAAGGTTAACTGGCATATGTATGCAAGCTTGGAACCTTGGATAGTAAACCGTTTCTTGCAAAAATGATATTATTTCCTATGTAATCTTAGGACAAAAACACGTATAACAATGAAAATGAAAAGTATTTTTATGTTTGCCAGTTTTAATTTAATAAAAAGTCCTATTTAAAATGACAATAAAGTTATGTTTTCTATTAAAAAGCATGACAAAGTTAATTGCAATTGAAAAAAGGGATTTTTTTTCAGTGCTGCATTTTTTACACTGAAAAATATAATAAGCAAAATGACTGTAAACAAAAAAGTAATTATAAATTGCAAAGAAGCAGAAGAAAATCCACAGAAAAATAATAGCTATGGCGAGAAAGTTGCTAATTAAGGTTAACTAAGTGTTAACATGGGGTTAATTAAGAATACATTTCATTAAAAGTAAATAAACTTTTTTTACTTGTAAATTTGTTTTACCCCAGGTTCACACCTAAGCGTTTTCTACAGCGTTTTGCAGAAACGCAGTACAGTCCATTTAACATGATTTCCTATGGGACATGTTCATATCTGAACGTTTTCACCCGGTGTGTTTTTTGGAAAGGGTCAGGGACTTTTTTGAATGCGAAAAGTTGCATATTTGTTTCTATAGACTTCAATGGAAATGCTGCAGAAAAGCATGTACTGCGTTTTTGCTGCGTTTCTGCAGCGTTTTTTTTTGCATTTTGCATTTTAAATCTGCCTAGCAACAAGAAAATTTTAAATAAATTAAAAGTAAAACACAACGCATCAAAACCGTGGCAAAAATACAACAAAAACAAATGCAAAAGCACAAAACGCACTGCAGAAATGGCTCAAACGCAACCTGCATAGGTGTGACCCTAGCCTTAACCAATGTCCTAAGCATATGAAAGGTCACACCCTTTGATCGTTAAATGAATGAAATAGTAAAAATGTAACATTACATTGTTGCACTGTATTACTCAATGACACTTGCAGACTATCTACAAGTATTATTTTACACAGGAGCAGATGCATTTTAATGATTGCTTTCTGCTATGTAATACATAGCAATTCCTGGTCTTCATTTTGACAGCCGGTAATTAGCAGTTATAGTGGCAGGGGAGCAGCAACAGGGGGAGAGGACCTGAACATAGGAGATATGCATCCACATGTGGATATTTCTCAGATATGTGTAATGTTATTTAGCTGTGTTCAGTGTCAGGCTGTAAAAGCCCTATTGGAGGTTAATCTTTCTCCTGCTTGAACTTAGGGGCTGAAAACAGACTCCCACTTGGACTTGCTAGAAGAGGTCCAACTGTCAGGTAAGGCGAGTCCCTTTGATAACTTGCGTGTGCACGAAACATGTCAGGGAGGAGCCTACGTGTTGACGTCACGCCGCCGAGTCCATGCATGGTCTGGCGGCCATTCATATAAGTTCGGCCGCTTGTTTTATGTATTCCACGTGGATTTTTATTGAAATTTTGAATAAAATACTACACTATGCATCTTTCTTCGGGCTTTGTGTGGTGGTCTATTTCTATTAAGGTGAGTCCTGGTCACTTCTGATTGAATCGGCCAAGAGGAAGGAGTGAAGGAGGCTGTCACAGATTGTAATACTATTGTGGGCTTGTTTTTACCAGAGTTCTGGTGAGTGCATAGAGGTGAAGGTCTCACAGAAGAGGTGTCACTGTCGGATTGATGTCACTGGTTTATACATTTAAAAGTTATTGGACTTTGTTTCTTTTACACAAATCATTTATTTGACACCCTGCACTTTTCCCTTTTTTTGGTGTTTATTGATATATGTAGCATTGTTAACATTGAATGCCATATGGCCTTATAACGTTTATTATGAATTACACTATTCACATGAAGTTTGTAATAGAAATTATTTTCATTTTTAGTGGTTTATAGCACTGCACAATTTTATTTATTGTCAGCTAAGGAAGCCTTCAGCCTTCTCCCATGCAATGATATAGCTTCTTTGATTACTGAAGTTTTAAAGGTAAACAATAAAAAATCATCAAACCTATGAGTTGTAAGGCTGAACTAACATAACAATTCAAGAGCGGAGATTCGGATTAATGGTAATAGGTAAGGTGTTTTTGTGTCATTTTATAGCTATTAGTCTCATACTACTCTAAATTATTTTACCTTACTTAGAAAAAAGATGGTTTTATCGATTTCATCTTAATATAGTTTTACGTATTAACATCCATTATTATGACATGTCAATTATGATATTAACAATAGAAGCACATATGAGAATTTTAATTGTCTTCTAGATCTGTAATTATTCCTGGAACAATTAATGAATGGTTTTTTAAGTAACAATTACAATGAAGGAACATCCCGCGGACGTCTATGCAGAGCCAGCAGTAACAACAATGGAAGCTTAATTTGTATTTCACATATATTTGATCTTTATTTTGAGATAGAGGCTTAAAATAAATTACCTGTGTAATTTATAATGTCTCAGAAATTATACTTTTGACATCTCCTTTGTTCAAGAATAAAATATCTGGAGGTGAAAAATTTAGGCTAACACTGGTGGCTGTGGTTATGATTAAAAGTCTTTACATTAAAGAGGTAACATGAAAAAGATTCCTAAGGTTCTACTTTTAACTATGAATTGAACAAAAGTTTTCATATTTAATTCCATAACCAGTTGATTGGATTTAACTTCTTCTTATTAAAATCTTCTTTTTCTTGAAGTCTTTTTAAGAAGTGTATAAATTAATCATTTCAATCAGGATGTACCCAAATGTCCATGGATGGGAAAGCGTGATATCTTGGTCATCGCTGCAGATGACTGAGATATCATTGTTCACAGCTGGTAAGTCTGTGTGTTGTAAAAGTAATTCAAGCAGCTAAAGAGCCACTGGATTCTTTTTACAGGCACTGTCGTCATACAAACGGGGAGCCTGGTAATGATGCAACCAACGGTTTCCGGCTCTGGGCACACAGTGTGAGGAACAAATGTCACTCCCCCCACTGTGTGACATTAGAAACCAAAAGTGATGAGGATTTTGTCACTTCTGGTTTCGGGTCTTTGCTTACAAGATAGTTTTAGCTTTTGAGAGCATCAGATCAAATCAATCCATGTTTGATCAAATGCTCTCAAGGGCAGAAGAGACATCTGGGGTCTAATAGATCCCAGATGTCTCAGTAAATAAGATCTTTTGCTGCTTATTGTTAACACAAGGGATCTTTACATTCTTTGTGATAGCAAGAAAAGTGATTAAAAAATTAAAGAGACACTGAAAAAAAAAAAATCAAATATAATAAATAATAAAATACTTTTTTTTTTTTTTAAAGTGCCCTCAACCCACTGTGGTGAGACTGAGGTCTCACATGCATACATAAATTGCACCACACATGTGAGGTATCACAAACATCAGAGTGAGAGCAATAATTCTAGCACCTGTGTAACTCTAAACTGGTAACCTGTAAAGGCTTTTAAAGCATCGCCTATGGAGATTTTTAAGTACTGTAGTTTGGCGCAGTTCCAAGAGCATGTGCAATTTTACAACTTTACATGTTAGGTATCTATTTACTCAGTGTAACATCAACAATTTGGTATTATATTATATTTTTGTGCATTAAAATTCACTAAAATGTGGGATTTTTCCCCAAAAAATTGTGTTTGAAAAATTGCTGCGCAAATACCGCGTGAAATAACAAATTACAAAACCCAACATTTTATTAAAAAATATATAATGTTTGGTGGCTCTAAGTAGTTTTCTAGCAAAAGAAAATATATTTTTTACATGTATGAATTGGCCCAGACAGTAAGTGGTTAGCATAGCCTATTCCATTATGGTGTGTGTGTGTGTATATATACATAAATATATATCTACACAAAGAATTGGCCCAGACAGTAAGTGGTTACATAGTCTATTCCATTATGGTGTGTGTGTGTGTATATATACATAAATATATATCTACACAAAGAATTGCCCTGGACAGTAAGTGGTTAGCATAGCCTATTCCATTATGGTGTGTGTGTGTGTGTGTATATATATATATATATATATATATATATACACAAAGAATTGGCCTGGACAGTAAGTGGTTAGCATAGGTGTGCACAGCCTATTGCATTATGATATGTGTGCGTGTATATATATATGTATGTATGTATGACTCTTCTGAAGAGGTCAAATTTGCTAGCAGGTTAAGAGGCATATTGCAAGTCACTAAAAATCATTTATGGTAGAGAAATATGCTGTAACTATTCAAAAGTACATTATTTTTCTGTGTTAATGGGCCTAATTTATGCTGGTTTTGTTTTTGTTTTACTCCAAAAGTATGTACATTCTGCTTGATATACTAGAGAAGATATGTAAAGTCATAAGGTGAAATAAATCTGTAATCCCATCTATCTACGCTGATGTGGAACTCATGAGTTATCCCAGAGCTAGGAGGTGAAAGAGCAGCACAGGGTGATTGCTGTTGCTACTGGCGATTACCTAGAGAACGTTATGATTGAGAGGCTGTAATACATTTCTGGTAATGGACAGGTAAGTGGCTGTTTTTTAAAAGTCAGCAGCTACAGTTTTTGTAGCTGCTGACTTTAATTTTTTTCATATTTTCACTGGAACTCCACTTCAAGTGTAACAAACAGGGACAAATAATCTGATATCTATTTCCAGAGGTAAATATTTGATGTTTTAAATGTACTACAGCAAAG